GAGTCAATTTCGACTCATAGTGACCCCATAAGGTTTCCAAGGCTGTAAACCTCTATAGAAGCAGACCGCCACATCTTTCTCCCGAAGAGCCCCTGGTGGTTGCGAATTGCCGACCTTTCAGTTAGCAGTTGATCGCTTTAACCACTGCACAACCAGTTAGCTCCCAGGAATTGTCCATAAAAGCCTCTTTTACCAACTAAGCTGCCTCTAAATGACTCATAGCATTTACATGAATTCTGAATCTCAAGAACTAAGGAAGAGAGTGAGAGATAAGAAGAAAGATCTTTCTTCTTTTCCTGAGGTCCAGGCCCAAAACAGGCAAAATGCTGAAGTTGGCAATGCTTGTCTTTGAGCATCTTGACATCATTTTTGTACAATTCTCCTTTCCAAACACCCAAGAGACCTCCTGCTACTCTAAGCACTCCAACTGTCACTTGCCACCCCTAAAGACTTCCAAGTCACCCAGTTCCCCTCTGTAATAGTAACAGATCTTGGCACTTAAGGAGCAGCCAGTCTAAGATCACAGAATTAAGTTCTCGTTTGAGCTAGGAAAAAAGCAATCTAGACAAGTTAACTCATATCCAATGGGTGAATGACAAAAATATCTAGAAGGGTACGCACTTTTCAAGGTACATTTAGCTAGGTACATGGCTGCCCGGAACAAAGACTACATTCCCCAGGCTTTGCAGCTAGTTATTACCCCATGATTTTAGTTAGTCAACGGATATAAACAGAGGTGGCATGTCCAGCTTCCAGCATATGTTCTTAAAGAGATGAGAGTGTCCTTCTTGCCCATAAAAGGTAGAGTTGGACCATCTGGGACCATCAAGTAGAAACACATGTTGAGGATAGTGGAGCAACATAGAATGCACTGTTAGACCAGCCTCAACTGCCCATGTTTAAGTAAGAGAGTGAAGCTTCTATCTTACTTAAGTCATTGCTATTTTGTATAAACCACTGTAACTTTCAGCTAACCCCAAAGCTAACTAGCACAATAAACCAAAACCAAAAACCAAACTCATTGCTGTTGAGTCGATTCCAACTGAAAGCAACGCTATCGTGACCCTATAGGACAGAGTA